ATTGAGTTTGTTTTTCTGCGGCATCTGAGTTTAATACTTTTCTCTTTACTGACGTGATGCATTATATGTGGCATAGATAGTTTATCTCTTTTGCACATAATTTGACATAAAAATACCATCAGCATACAAGAAACCCGAGACATAAACACAGTTTTTGCCTTCTTTGGCGGAGTTGAAACAGGGTGCTTCCATTGTTAAGACAATTGTTTGGTCTCTATGGTAAAATGGTGGATCCCGAACAAAGCTCTGCAGAAAATCAGCAGTCTGTTTGGTGTGCTTCTGATCAACTGTCAGAAAGTTTGGGTTCAAAACGGACTGAGAGGTTTCTCATAGCAAGATTTTTCCCTACAAATGTAATGTGCTCCTTCCTTGTGAATACCAAATGCACTATCTATACTGTTTATATATTTATCAGCCTTATTTTTTTTGGAATTTTAATTTACTTTACTACGAACTATTTTTGTTTACTATTAACAATTTCTCCCTGTTTTATTTTTGTTAGAATCACGTGACTGTCATTAGGCACATTGCATGATATAGTGTTATGAAATTTGTATTTGAATATTGTATTCTATACATTTGTCACACTTTCTTATTTTCTATGTTGAAATAGCTGACATACTTTACACATAAGCTCCTAATCATTGTGACATTGTTAATTTTATAATATCATTTAATGTACTTGAAACAACGAGGTACTCTATTTGTACAAGTTGGAAAACAAACTCTTCTTCTTCTTCTTCTTCAAAATTTATTGATACTAACTTAACACATCGCTGATACAGGTAACTTGTGAATGGTTACAGAGGCGACTGAAAAAAAATGTAAATCGTGGTAATTTTGAATAAATAATTACAAAGTTATTTTTAATTTAACAGTTTAATATTTCATACACTGTATTGACAGGCCAGCCACGTGCCTATAGTGTCTAAACAAACACAAGCACTGCTGTTGTAAGTAGTTGTAAATTCACTATAGAGAATGAATGAATACACCACATCTTAACCACATATATTACTGATAAGTTCAAGTATCAGATAAGGCAGCACACCACACTAAAGTAAGCCACAGCTTCGAATGGCCAGGGAGGATTTCATGGATATAGTGACTATTGTGGATTTAAATGACTGGTTGTCTTTAAAATGCATTTTCAGCATGAAATTTGTTTTTGTGACATGTAATATGATCATTGGCAAATTCGAAAAGATAGTTAGAAATCACATGCTGTTTATTATAGATGTCAAGGCCGCCATTGTTTGTAAACACTGCTTTTGAACAGGATGCTCGGTGAAAACAAGTAATTTTACAGGGGGGTACAAACTTTCAGCAATAGCAAAAAATCTACAAGGCCAAGCACCTATTTCTTTGTGATATTTTGCAAGTATAGGGAGTTGCTAAAGCAGTGACAGAGTTTCTGTAGCCCGTATATTTGCAGGTATTTTTGCCGGCGGGACGTAATATGTTGTTTTGGGTCCCGGACCACTATAGATTTTTGGCTTTTACGGAATGAATTGGAATTTTTTTAACTGCCTGACTGTTGCACATGGGATGATTTCATTATAAATTTGCAATTTTATGACATATATGTTCTTAACAAAATGTGTTTTCTTTTTCCAGGTTGTGTAGTTTGGGATCAGATATATCAAACATATTGCTTGTAGGACACTGACGGCAGAAACTTGAAATTTAGTGTGGAGTGCTACCTAAGAATACCAAAATCTGGAAACAAAGTGATCCCTCGGAAGCATTAATCACAACAAAATTACAAGAGAATTACACGTCTATATACAGGTTGCAATTATCCTTTACTAATTTTCATTGCGTTAATAAATATTGTTAATACAATTTAAACTACTGTTACGTCTTTAGATATCAAGTGTTTGTAGCAGGTTGAACTTGTAACAGGAGCCTTTTCAATGAAAACGGTCATTTTTCACAATATGCTCATGCGGGAAAGGTTAACAAAAACCATGTGAGACTGAAGATAATGAAGAGGTAAACAATTCTAATGACTTCATAACTTATCTAAATATCGTAAAGGTAACATTTGTTTCTTCAAATGTATATGAAGCATTTGCTTGTAAATTTAAAGTGTGAAGTGAAGAAGGGCAATTTTTAATTGGAAAATAGGAAAATCACAGCTATGGCATCAATGCAGGGAAATATCTTGAATGCCTCACAATTTTGGAAAAGTCATGTTGAAGTTTTTTTTCACAAAAGATTTGTCAACATTCACTGTAATATCTCATTCACAAGGTAGATCTTGCATCTTGACAAGATAGGCAAGACATATAGTAACAATGATGAAGGTTTAAAGATGAATCCTTTTTGCGGTTACTTTATAAAATAGTACATATATTTATGATAAAACAATCATTTTCTATTCCACGACTAGATGCTTAAGCATCAAAACCTCTACTTATTTCTTGGTATTGGTGACTTCTCTGTCCACAGTCAGCCTTAAATACCGACACTGGGACGGAAGGACCGAACATACGCATTGTTTTCCGTAACATAGGATATGGCTTAATCTCCTATATACGAGTACCTGTGATAATGTGGAATCTGGCAGGACTCCATGTTGTTCCCTGTAATGACATTTATCTAAATGATATGTGGCAATTCCACATTTTTTAGCTCACCTGTCACAAAGTGACAGGGTGAGCTTTTGTGATCGCTTTTCGTCCGGCGTCCGTCCGTCCGTCCGTCCGTCGTCCGTCCGTCCGTCCGTAAACTTTTGCTTTAAATGACATCTCCTTATAAACCACTAAGCCAATTTCATCCAAACTTCACAGGAATGTTCCTTTGGTGGTCACCTTTAAAATTGTTCAAAGAATTTAATTCCATGCAGAACTCTGGTTGCCATGGCAACCAAAAGAAAAAACTTTAAACATCTTCTTCTAAAAAAACCCAAAGAGCTAGAGCTTAGATATTTGGCATGAAACATCTTCTAGTAAGTGTCTACCAAGTTTGTTCAAAGAAAAGCCCTAGGGTCAAAATTGGCCCCGCCCCAGGGGGTCATTGATTTTCCCTATATGCATATAGTAAAAACTTAAAAAATCTTCTTCTAAAAAACCCAAAGAGCTAAAGCTTAGATATTTGGCATGAAACATGTTCTAATGGATGTCTACCAAGTTTGTTCAAATAAAAGCCCTGGGGTCAAAATTGGCCCCGCCCCAGGGGGTCATTGATTTTCCCTATATGCATATAGTAAAAACTTAAAAAATCTTCTTTTAAAGAACCCAAAGTGCTAGAGCTTAGATATTTGGCATGAAACATGTTCTAATGGATGTCTACCAAGTTTGTTCAAATAAAAGCCCTGGGGTCAAAATTGGCCCCGCCCCAGGGGGTCATTGATTTTCCCTATATGCATATATAGTAAAAACTTAAAAAAATTTCTTTTAAAAAACCCAAAGAGCTAGAGCTTAGATATTTGGTATGAAACATGTTCTAATGGATGTCTACCAAGTTTGTTCAAATAAAAGCCCTGGGGTCAAAATTGGCCCCGCCCCAGGGGGTCTTTGATTTTACCTAAAGGCATATAGTAAAAACTTAAAAAAAATTTCTTTTAAAAACCCAAAGAGCTAGAGCTAAGATATTTACCATGAAACATCTTCTTATGGGTGTCTACCAAGTTTGTTCAAATAAAAGCCCTGGGGTCAAAATTGGCCCCGCCCCAGGGGGTCATTGATTTTCCCTATATGCATATAGTAAAAACTTAAAAAATCTTCTTTTAAAGAACCCAAAGTGCTAGAGCTAAGATATTTAGCATGAAACATGTTCTAATGGATGTCTACCAAGTTTGTTCAAATAAGAGCCCTGGGGTCAAAATTGGCCCCGCCCCGGGGGTCATTGATTTTCCTTATATGTGTATAGAAAAAACTTAAAAAATCTTCTTTGAAAAAAACCAAATAGCTAGAGTTTAGATACTAAGCATGAATCATCTTCTAGTGATTGTCTACCAAGTTTGTTCAAATAAAAGCCCTGGGGTCAAAATTGGCCCCGCCCCGGGGGTCATTCCTTTTCCTTATATGTGTTATACAAAAACTTTAAAAAATCTTCTTTGAAAAAACTCAAATAGCTAGAGTTTAGATATAAAGCACGAAGCATCTTCTAGTGACTGTCTACAAAGTTTGTTCAAATAAAAGCCGTTGGGTCAAAATTGGCCCCGCCCTGGCTGACATTGATTTTCCTTATATGTGTATAGCAAAAAATTAGAAGTCTTTTTTGAAAAAACCCGAATAGCTAGAGTTTAGATATTAAGCATGAAACATTTTCTAGTAAGTGTCTACAAAGATTGTTCAAATAAAAGCCGTTGGGTCAAAAATGGCCCTGCCCCAGGTGTGTCATTGTTTTTAACTATATGTGTAAAGAAAAAAACTTGACCAGCTAGACCTTGGATGTTAAGCATGAAATATCTTCTAATGGGTGTCTACCAAGTTAGTTCAAATAAAAGCCCTGGGGTTTAAACTGGCCCCGCTCCAGGGGCCTATATACAGGTGAGCGACTTCAGGGCCATCATGGCCCTCTTGTTTCCTAAGGCACTGTATCATGAAATAAAACTTCTCGTCAAAGGCTAAATTTTAATTACTTTTTTTTCACGATATTTCACAATTTTTTATGTAACTTACTTTTTAAGAGACATTTACAGTATGGGTAAAAAGAAACATTCTGCAGTTTTTGCGCGGACCACAGATGGTCACAACATTACGACCAGGGGGTGCATATTGCAAAGAGGTTGACCAGTATGTTAATAGTTTTCCTTAGGAGGTCAGGAGTCAAATATTCGCATTACATGTATTACAGAAAGATAACATTAAGATGTTAAATTCTATGTTTTTTTATATGTACAGGCTAAAACATAATGATCAAATTCCTTTGTGAGTTAGAGATCATGACACCCCATAGCAGCCTCTAAATCGATCCGCCAATGTTATTTAAAATTCTATTATCGATCAGAACGAACCGCCCTTGGTTACACTTCCTTGTTGAGGTTATTTCGTCTTAAACTAGATCTACTTTTGTTTTGTGTCATTTTATAAATGTTAAAATTAACTAAAAATGCATGAATGTGATTTTTTTACCGTTTTATTCTTAATTTGAAACTGACACAAAATTGTATTTGAAACAAACAAACAAAAACGTGAAACTTGTACGATTTAAAAACTGGGATTCCATTTTTTTAAATAGCACGAAATTATGACGTCATCAAAATAAGTGATAATGGATTGATTTTTAAGGGATTTATTTTTTACAGATACGACTTTGTATTCGGGTAAAATTACACATCATTAATAAATTTAATCTTTAATGTCATTGAGAGAAGAATAAAAATATATCTATTAGCATATCACGTGACAAATTGTATTTGCAGCAGCTTTGCATGTAAGTTTTCTACTAATTGAAGCTTTAAGCTAAACATAAGTGAACTGATGAAGTTGGGGAGGTATTTCTTTCTAAATTTGGAGTTAGTTAACGACATCATCAAACTAGTAAATTAAACAAAATTAATGAAACCGAAAGAAGAAGTATAAAATTCCCCGTCACAGAACATAGGAAATTACAAAAAAGGTTTGTATTTTCTGATTAAAAACATATTTAAAACTTGTACAATGCATCACCAAGCGTGTGTTATTGCTTTGCCCGTGACACAAGTGCTTTTTATTAGACGATCAGTTATGTGACAAATCACAAATGTGCAACTTTCTCTTTCAGTAAGAAATAAAAAATGCCACAAAACAACAATTTTTCACAAAATTAGGCGAAAGGTCACGTTTAAACATGGAAAAACTACATTTTGGGTAATTCCAAGGTTTTTCTTTATTTTTTGTTAACCCTTTACTTCATATCGACGTGTTTTGACGACGTTTTGCCCCCCCCCTTTGAGGCCTCAAACAGTGAACAATCGCCCTATTTAGACCCAAAATACTGTTTTTCGTTTGAGAAATGTTGATTAAAAAAGGGATCATTTTTTTCGGCGCCGCCCCCTATCAAAAGGTATGTACATCAAGGGGTTGCCAGAAGGGAGGTATGTCCCCGTCTGTTTCGGGGGGTTGAAGGGTGCAGCAGCCCCTCTCATCGCCAAGAAAATCGTGGACATGTGACTGGCTAACCCCGTTGCAAGGGTAACAGGAAATTTAGGACTGAGCATGCTGGTACAGAGGCCGTGATCCAGTCAACATTTGTGTTAAGTTTCATCAGCATTGAAGCATTTTTCATGGTTTCATAGCAGTATGAACTTGTAACATGAGGCTTTTCAATGATAACAGCCATTTTTCTCAATAATGCTCACGAGGTAAAGGGTTTACGTGTCCATGTGTGTATATAAGCACACTCCGAAAATTTAAAATAGGTTGTGATTGAAAGCACTGTCATTGGATGTCGACTTAATTGAGCTAAGAAATAGTAATGTGATAAGTAGCGATATCAATATAGAAATCATAAACCAGTAAATTTATGAATTTAGTTAATTCTTAACCAAATAATTAAAACATAAGCAAATGTGTTGTTTTTTACCAAAAGTGTAAGTGTTTATAAGAATGGTGTTGAAGCCTTTACAAATCATTTACTGGTGGATATCTTTGGTAAATGTTGACGATTAAGTAACTTAGAATGACATTATGAAGCCAAATTTTAAATAACATGTGTAATCGCTTTGTGCCGGATGACAGCCTCATACTACCAGTAAGGCGTCAAGTATGCGTCTTTGAGGTATATTTTGTCATTCTGGGTGCATAGCTTGTTCCAGTTGTTGCAGGTTGACTTCAAGTGGTTCGTACCTTTGCCCAAATAAAATTCAACATTTCAGTTGTGGCCATTTCTAAATTGAGGCAAAATGCAAAGTGTGGGGAGAAGGGTTGAGGCTTTCATCTTGGCATGTGGCGGTTACTTGAGATAAAAAACAAACAGCCAAAAACTTTGTAATTTATGCAAATGTATATTCACTAAGATGTATATGCTTGCATGTTTGTGCTGGTATGTTTAAGAATTTTAAAAATGCAATGTTTATCATATGTTGCAGATAGGAAGCAAGAATAGATAGAATACAGCAAGCGCCAAAACTATTACATGCAATGCATTCCAAACGTCATTTATACCATGGGATCTATGGTGCCTTCAAAATCAAAGTGTAAAGCTGAAAACATAACGTTAGTTTCGCAATCAAAACAGCTTGTTATTAACTATATTTGTTCCTTTTGCCACCACTATTTAAAAGCAGCTCGTTATTCGGTTGCAACAAACATATTTGAAGCTAACGCTTGCCATCAATATACAAGTAGAACAGATGCTACACATCCGATGTTAAACAGCAGAACAATAGACAGGGGTGCTCAAAATAGTAAATTTTAAAAGTATTATAATAACAAATGTTACACCTGTGATATTCATGATGTGTTATCCAAGGATTTTTGATACTGCGTGATTTTAATATTGTTCCAGAGCTTAGTGTTTACTTTATATACTGTAGTTGAATTAATAATGGATGACAATTCGGATGACGATTTAATTCAGTTTTCGCATAACGAATCGGAATTGAAGAATGGTGAGCAAGTGTCTAATGTCACAACAACTAAAACTAGAAGTTACACTGCCGCTATGGAAATGCGAGCAGATATGCCCAATGTAAATACTTTTGTTAGACCTAAAGTGCAGACATATGACCCAAATATGAGTCAACAAGTGTCTTATCCACCGACGTGCAGATATCCACTCAGGCATAGACATGCATCCACACTTTCTGCGAATGAGAATCAACAATCTCCTAGGGCTAATTCATCTGTATATCATCATCAATACTCGGCAACAAGTCAATCAGTCACAGGTGCACTTATTCAAAGCTCACCGCCTGCAATCACGTCAAGACATCAACTGACAGAAAAATCTAACATGATACCAGGATCTGAAGTAAGATGATTGAATATTTGCATTGCAGCATTATTTAAAATACATTCCGTCATAAGAATTTCAATAAATAATTAATCCTTATTTTTCTGACTTTCTTAAATATACTTGTTTGGCTTGATGTTCATCATTTTGTAAGGATTCCAAGATAAAATATTAAAGATTATCAGTCACCAGCAGAGTACGCCGATGTGCATCTATCCTTATAACAAAGACCTATCACTTTTGAATCTTGCAGAAGGGATTTAAGTTTTAATACAAATATACAGAAAGAGGAAATACCAATATTAAGTTCTTTTATCTCTAATATTCAATAAGAAAACATCGCTAAGTTAACATTTATAAAACCCATCAATGGTTTAAAACTAGCAGAACTGGGTAGAGTTAAACAAACGTTTGTTTTTATTGTTGTACATGAGTATGATAACCGTAAAACAAATACTTCGTTATATTCAACAATAATGGGTTTCGCTCTTATAGATGCACTGGTTTGGGATAATAAAATCACGTGGGGTTTTTCAGATGGAATTTAATATTCATGATAATAAATCATTTTGAAAAAAGCTAAGTAAATCAGAAAATTGTTCTGCATGGTCACGTATCACGATGACGTTTTAATCATGAAAAGGCTACCCTTCCGGTAAATAGGGATTAGTTAATCCTTTAAATACCGATGTAATATACACAGATGTAATTATTTCTTAATTTGAAGTAATATAATAAAAATGTAATAGAAATTAAAATATTTCATTCTTGTGTATTAAAGTTAATAATTACCTGTTTCAGGGGCAAACACACCAACGCTTAAATAGACGTAAGTAAATTTTAATATAATAACAGAAGTCAACAAGCCTATTAGTTATCAACAATAATTGACCATATATAAAATGTTAATTTACTTCTATAGATAGAATCAATACATTTTTAGAGTCCTATACATAACTTCTTGGTTTCCAACAATAAATTGACTATGTAATCAAGTTTGATTATTATTTAATCTATCTGTTATTACTTAACACAATGTTTTCGTAAACATGCTCAGTAGATATTGATGTGCTTTTCTTCAATTCCCTTCATATACACACGCTTACAAAGGAGAAAGACGAGCAACCGGAAAGCCACTCAGGTTTCACGAATACGCGGATTACAGGAAGAGAGTGTCTTCATTTGAATTCTGGCCCATACAGATTAAACAGACTCGAGAACAAATGGCCGACGCTGGCTTTTTCTATACAGGTACTGGTAGTAATTGTGGATAGTTGAATGTTTTCAATCAATTCTTAACTGACTTGTTAATCCATGTCTGTTTTTTTTCAAACGCAAGACACTAAATTATTACGTATATTGTAATATGTAAGGAGGTATATATTCTTATGCTATCATTGATACAACATAAAATAATATGTCAGTGCATAAAATAATCTGTTAGTGAGTTAAATGTTATTTTATTTCTTACATGAAATTGATCACTCTTGTTGTTTAAACTCTGTGTTCAAACATATAGTATGCATTCACAAAATTTCATTGGCCAAGAAAGGCTATGCCTCTCGTCCAATTCAATTTTGTAAATTATTAATCATGAACATTAACCAACTTTTCGTTTAAAATATTTAATATACATGTAGTACATGTAGTTAATTTACTACGTAAAGTAAAAATAAAATAACTCACTTGAAAAACTTAAACCCCTTTAGTAAAATATTAAGTTCTGACACTAAACGGAAATAACATGCCAGGACAAATATTAATTTATTACTTAATTGTTTAAGGTTCCGATGACTTAGTACAATGCTTCCAATGTTACCGTCAAGTGCGCCGTTGGGAAAACGGTGACGATGTGTATGCAGAGCACGCTCGAATATTTCCGTTGTGTCCATATATAAGAGAACACAGAGGGGATAGCTTCATAGCACAGACTGTCAATGAGGTATTTTTTGCGTATTTTTTACTATATAAACGTAAAGCGACTAGGTTATTCTGAACATACGTGCGTTCCGACCAACTGCATACCATATAATGAGGCACATCAACTTTACCATTTTGATAAAAAGCTCCTTAGACAAACAACAGATTAATTTTTCAAATCCATAACGTGGCAACTCCATTGCACAAATAAATGAAGCAAAGCAAATGTTCAAAACAAAACACAAATATGTCTCCTGCCTACAATAGATATATCAAACATTCATCAAAAATTGAAAGTAAAATGAGTCGATAAAGGTCACAATATGAGTGTTATTTCATGAGTGAATAACATATCTATTTTGATGATATTTTTACCATTAAATTTCTACAGAAATTTTTGTTTCCCATGTTTCAACTTTGTTCTATTACAACTATCTCTCAAAAATAAACATATATTTTCAAAGTAAATTCGAAATATTAATTCAATTAACAGGACAAAGAGTTCTCTGCCAAAGACCAATCTCTACAATATGCTCAACAAGATCAACAAGAATTCTTAAAATATTTTGAGAGTAAAAGGAATAGACTTTTGGAAATGGGTTTCAATGATGACGAATTCAAAATTGTACGACAGCACTTCAAAAACATAGGTAAAAGATTTTTTTGGTTTCGTTCATACTGATATACCAATGTAAAAATATTTGAATTTCATGTTAAAACTGTAAATTGTCTATATGATAGAAAAAAATATCATTTACGTGTGTAAACGAAAAACCTCTGTTGTCTCGGAAAATCGACCATGTATTATTTGTAAAAAGGGAAAAGAAATAATGGATGTTGTCTCAGAAAAACAAAATAAATGTAATTAGGCACTATAATTATGCATGGATAGCGACACCAGTAGCAAACACAGAGGATTTAATGTTTTATAGTGCATGTAGTCATTAGATCGTTACAGTATGTAACATAGCTAGTTGTTTTGTCCTCCAGGTAATTTCAAACCGGACATAGATGAAATTGTTGACGCACTGACCGAAACGAAGACGTGTGAGGATTAAAGGTGCTTACTGGGGACTACATGACTGGGTATACTCTACTTCGTCTTACATGCGCTTTATCCACAAACACAGTAGACTCTCGTTCATTTGTTGTAATTAATTCCTGATTTGTTTTAGAATTACACAAGTGCCAATTACATGTTTCCTTTGTGTTTTGTTCATAAATATTTAACTATGTAACTATTAATATTATTTAATATTTTCTGTTGACATCTTAACATATCAAGTTATTTATTTTGCAAGAAAAAATTAAAATTTATGCATATGTGTTTAAAATATACATTTGTATTATAAAGCAAAAAAGGTGTGCCGTCGTGGCCGACCCTCACGAGTGGTTCACACTTCGAACTAATAATCTAAGGATTGCTGGTCGCGTGGATCAACGTGAATCGCAAGACGGCGTTTCTGTGAGCAAAAACTTAATACTCACGCTTATTTTATTTTTGACTAGTTCCAGGAAGGGATGGTGTTGTTTTAAGCTTAAAGCTTCCTAACCTAATCGAACTAAAATAAAGTCTATATAAACTAAGTTTCAAGGTGCATTAAAACTTCAATAAAGGTTTAATTCACTGTGAAAAGTTTACCACCTTCTTATTTTCCTTGTACTTGGCTTAAATCATGTATAAATTGTAAAACTTTTTCATGAACTCGTTTTTAAATTACAAATCGAGTCAGATACAATAAAGATATTGATGCTTTCCTGTGTGCATGTTTTATTGTTTTTGTTTCCTTTTTGATAAAAGGATTGAATATGATGTGAAAAGTTAGTGTAACTGATTTTATGCATCAATGTTATTGATACTGCAAACGATTTTATATTTCATTGTGTTGTTGACTCGTATTATTATGCCTGACATTGTTATCTATACGTCAATTCATTATATTAGAAACTGTTTATAGATAATGTTTATAGATAATGTTTATAGATAATAATGTTTTCTAAACTGGTAATATGCTGCATTGTTTTCATTCGATTCTTTCGAAATACTTAAAAAAATATTATTATATTTTCTTGTTTATGTCATGATTTTTTTATTTTAATTATTGAAATTCCGAAATATGTAAATTATCAATTAGCCAGGCCGCTGACATGTTTTTTGCAATTTAAGGGTCTGACACATTTATGTTTATTTACGTCACATGATTATTATTTGAAGTTTTCTAATCTGATTATCTGTTTGACTTAAAAAAAAGTCTTCAATTGCTAAATGATATAATCGGGATTATAGCGTGGAAGCCGAAAGACTACAATTGTTCTTGTATTAATAAAAGAGACAGAACTTTTAAGAGAACAATTCAGTCAGCCAGACACTTAACCTGTCATGGTTTAAGTTTAAAGTGTTGGTGCCGGCATTTTAATGTATATTTATAGATATGTTATTTCAACCGGTTGGAATTGTTGTCATAGAGAAGGAAAAAAAACTATGTAATAAAATCAGGAAAAACGAACTTTCTGAGTTGTGTTTATAATAACAAAAGGATCTTTAGATGAATACTGGAGATAACTAATACTTACAAGTTAGCGGTGTAATTATACAACACAGAGAAAATACGGCACAGAATTGTTTGTTAAAAAGAATATTATTATGGCAGACGGTCTAGTATGTGTAGTCTTATATCTTCCACCATTCACATTCAGAGTGAATTTACATATAGCCAAGAACCTTACATTCTATAAATTTATCCCATACAGATTTAATTTCTCAATAGAAATTCTTCAATTTTGTACTTGGACATAGGTTTGACGTTCAAACAAAATTAAAATAATGACCACTTCTTGAACAATATTTATTTAAATGGAAAGAATAAATTACAACAAAAATATAAATATATACAACTTATATCATATTGATTTGTAAAATACAGCATAGTTCGACAAATTCTGTTTATCTGAATATAATACTGCACATTTGTAAATTTATTTTCGTTGGATCATCGCAACTTATATAAATGGCTGTTGCAAAATTATGAAATATTTCCTTTTTTATATGTTGAAAGCATTTTGTGCAGTATTACAAATCTAGAGTAAAGACAATTGCCAGGTTATATAGCGGTGTAAGTATGACCATTTGTTATATAACTCTAGCCATTTGGATACGGTTATAAAATTTTTTGACAGGCTATATGGCCGTATATAAACGGCTGTTTGAAAATATAACCAAATTTGCTAGGCGAAAATTATTTTGCAAACAACTGTTTATAAACGGTTATATTTATATAACCTGTCAGGAATATTTATTACGAATTTGTAATACAGGAAACTTCTCTTTTATGAGAAAAAAAAGTGAGATTTTTAGAAAATTGACAGTAGCCGTGTCTATAAAACTATATAAATGTCACGATTATCCAATGAAAAGTGATGTTAAAATGTGCAGTATCATAAAACATATAACCGTCTATACTGGGCCATACAACATGTCATTCGTCTATATATCTAATAATATGTTGGTCATAAATCAAATATCATCAATTTGCTAAGTGTGTGTACATTTGTATATATGGGGTGTTCAAAATATAAATCATAAGTTTGATGTTTTGCACATAAACATTAGTCTAAATTGTTGTAAAAAATTAATTTCCGATATTTCAAAAGATTTCGAGAGACGCGTTTCTAGTATGTTTTGTATATGTTAATAAAATAACAGTACCTGATATTGTAAGAAAAAAATACAAAAAAAAAACAACACCAAACAAACAAACAAAAAAACAATAGAAAAAAATCAATGATCATAACAAAATTATCAAGTGACTTCTCTTTATACACTTTAAAGAGGATTTGTCTACTATTGGCACTTTTTTCATAATCATATCAAATATAATTGATAAAAACAATTGAATCGTATCACATTTGGATATCCTTAAATAGTTTACTTTTACAAATGTTGACAAATTTCTACTGATTGTGTATGAACATGTATAATATGAGGAATAATAACATTTTGTTCTTAAACATTTTAATATCTATTTATATATATGTCTGACACTAAATACTATCAAAAATCAAGGTTATTATATATAGTATAACAGACCAATTCACTATAAGTATTTACATTTTTCTCTTCTGTCATTACGGTACATACCACCAATATTTTTCCCGCTATATATATTTATACAAAACAAAATGAATATTTATAGCATTCCCCAGTCCAGATATTTTTATGGTAAAAAGGGAACCCGGATTATAGTGTGGAAGCTGAAAACGGCGCAATGATCAAATTTGAATATTTCTTTACTAAATCGTTTTGTCATAATTTTGCCGCTAATTCTGACACGAAATAACCGATTGTGAAAATGTCCGTACAATATTGTATTATAAATGTATGCATACATCTCTAGTTATTTACAAGCGGACAGTACACAGACTTTTGTACCAGTATTACCATATGCTGCCATGATTAAACATTTAAAAGAGAAGTGGACAGTCATAATTATTTAAGATATCATAATCAAAGCGCACTAAACTGGTCTTTACCGAAACATAAAAATATCAAATGACATTTGCAACTCAACAATTCTACAGTAAGAAGGCAGTGAATTCTGTTAAAAATAAAGCAATGCTTTCTGGCATTTTTCGGTGAATACATTGTGTAAAAGAATTGCAATAATGGGTGTAATTTACCAAACAAAAACATAACAAAAATATATGAAAACATGCGTTATTAATAACGCCATCCCAAACTAGTAAAAACCACCACAGCAAATCTAAAACCGTTACCAATTACTAATTAACCCTAAATAAAAATGTATGCGCCCAGAATATGATAGTAACAAGAGGCACCACCAAGCGGGGTCCACGATTTGTTCTTAGCTCTATAATCAAACGCATAGAAGGAAGAATAATGTAGTAAAGAAACTCATAGAAATGTACCAAATATAATTTAAATTTCATATGCAATAATCAAATGATTCTCGTAAAATAAAGCATTCCCAGCGTGCAAGGCTTTGCACATGTATAGGCATGACCTTGACAGTCAAGGTCATTTAAAGGTCAAATCATAGTAAAATTAATCTAAATCATCACTTCAGTTCAAATCAATAAATAACAAGGTCAATGTCTATTATGAGTCAAGGTGAAATTTACGTAGATCTTCTTTAAAACATTGTCCTTGAGGTAGGTGTGCTTAAGAATGAAAACAGTCCATTTGCAAATAAAACATTATAGCATAATATCACGCAAAATCCAATAATTTGACCTTCAAGGTCAAGGTAACTGATGGATGAAGGTCAGAATAAATTTGATCTATATGATAGTCTTGTCTAAAACATTGTTGTGTCAAGGTATGAAGACAATTCGTTTATAAATAACAAAGTTATAGCCAATTATAGCAAAAAGCAAGAAAAATTCAAACATTTAACCTTAAAGGTCAAGATCATTTATGAGTCAAGGTCAAGTTCAGTCTTGTTATTAAGATGTTTTATCGAGTGAATCACTGCTTTATTATTATGAATGAATAAAATTGTTCCAAAAAAAGCACAAACCCTTCAGTAGTTATGGAGATACCAGCTTACAAGCAAAAACTTTACCAAGAATTTCTAAGCCGAAAAAGGTGCATAATTATGAAAAAAAAAATCAGAGTTACGGGACTTGTGCCAATCATGTTAGATAATCACAGAGAACAAGTGTGTGAAGTTTCAATCCATTCCCTTCAGTAGTTATGGAGACATCAGCTTGCACGCAAAAACTTAACTAAGAATTTCTAAGTCGAAAAAGGGGGGCATAATTATGCAAAAAAACAAATCAGAGTTATGGAACTTGTGCCAATCATGTTATATAATAACAGAGAACAAGTGTGTGAAGTTTCAATCCATTCCCTTCAGTAGTTATGGAGATACTAACTTGCACGCAAAAACTTAACCAAGAATTTCTAAGTCAAAACTAGAACTCCGCGAGTCGGATGTGTCGCCTTGTGAACAATATAGTTTAGGAGAAATGGCCAGGACAAAAATGAAATTTGAAAATAAACAAAGGGCAATAACTCAAAAAATAAGAAATGCAGAGCAGCAGTTTCTATGCTCCGGACAAGCTTAAGGGGACAACGACGCCGACACCGACAACGACGACGACGCCAACACCGCCGACAAAAGTAACCCCTATATGTCGCCTTTTTCAAGGCGACAACACCGCCGACAAAAGTAACCCCTATATGTCGCCTTTTTCGAGGCGACACGAAAAGGGGCATAATTATGCAAAAAACAAATCAGAGTTATGGGATTTGTGCCAATCATGTAAGATAATCACAGAGAGCAAGTTAAGTTTAAATCCATTCCCTTCAGTAGTTATGGAGATACCAGCTTACACGCAAAAACTTAACCACAGGGATTACTAGTATTCTGCGAATAGTCGAGCTGAAAATGTATGAATAGTCGTATAATATTGCAAAGCATAGAGTTCAGATGTTAGTAATTATTCACCCAGGTATTAGGAATTCGCGATGATATTTATAATATGCATCTGAACTACATGTATGTACAGTACCATGATAACTCAATGCCATCAAGTCTGTCGAATGTCCATGATGTGTTGATTGGTTTAAAATGACTGAAATGATATACACTGTACAAATGTCCAAACTCCAAAGTGTAATAAATATGCCCTATGTTTTTTAAATGCACAAAAATAATATCATTTAAAAAAAATGTACATGTATATAATAACACTAAATCTAAACAAACTAGAGTTAATATGTATTATTGACCATATAAATCTAGTCTATACATGTTTTTTTATAGGACATTAGTAAATAACGACATTAATTTAACACCTTTGAAAAATTTACCAATAAACATCCAGCATTTGCATCACATGATGTTCCGAGAGATTTAAATTCATAAAATTTAGCCTCGTTTTCATTTCACGAATCCGAAAATAGAAATCCGCTTAATTTTCATTTTCCGAGTCCATATTTTTCCGAGTTCATATCTTTACTGTACTCCAATTTGCAAAATTCTGTCAAAATGTTAAAATTGGTGATGTGAAATAAAGAAGTCATTATACATTGTTGAATACAATACTGACTGCATTGATCTCGTACTATAAAATCTATATTGGACTATGCAGGATGCATCATCCAGTAAAGGTTTGACAGCTGTGCACACTTCCAAATGAACTCCATATTGTACTCAAAAATGTATAATAACATAACAATACATAACTACACATTTTGACAATTTGAAATGTTTTACACACGAAAATGGGACACATTACGTTATGTATTGTTTGCTCCTAAACATTCAACTGTTAACTGTTTCAACAAACAAAGTACACAGAATAACTATTTACTAAAAACAAGTTTAACCTTTGTTACTAAGCAAACATTGAAATGGAGGGAACAACACTGTGTCTTCGTTTAACAATGTTTTAGAACTCCACGGGGGTTCAAAAGTCTAAGAACATAAATTTTGATAATCTTACTCAGATCAACTGGAAAAATATGAAGCATTAT